ATTTTCGTGGCACGAACGATGGATGTCATGATTTCACTTGGTACTCTCTTCAAACTTTGGTTTTCATCCAAGTACTCGCACGTGGTTATATATCCATTAAAAATGGCGAGTCAGTTTTCGGTAAAACCCGAGGAGATCCTGGCTATAATCTAAGGTAAGATCTTGAATATGATGTTTCTTGTCATTTATTTTCCAGTGGTATCCATTTAGAAATCGTTTTGAAAAGTCATAACATATTACCAAGAGGTAACAATTCACGCAAAAGTCACCGAAATCCTATAATTCCGCTATATTTTAAAGATCACTTTATGGCTCAAAAGTAGCCCTAGCCTGTTGACGGAATTGTGGTAACATATACACGTATTTATCCAAAATGAAAGTACCAGATGGAAACTTCTAAACTATCTCAGAAAAATTCGGTGATTCCACTTATAAGTTACCCCATGTAAGGGAATCCGGATTCCAGAATCCGGGACATTTTTGCTTGTGGAATCCAAAATCCGGCAATTTTTTCTTGTAGAATTCAGAATCCTGGGCTTTTTAATCCAAAATCCAAGTTCAACTGTCAAAAATCCTGAATCCAGTATCTGGAATGCGGAATCCATTGCGCGAAATTTACAGGGTCTCACTGAATATCACTCATTGTGAAGTGAGCTCCCTGTATAAAGATTGTTATTATTATTATAATTATTATTATTGTTATTATTATTATTATTATTATTATTAAATTCAGAATCCAAGATGTACTTGGATTTCCTTACATTGGGTGATTATAAACAGCCGCTTTGATATAAGCCCTGGGGCCCGTTTCTCGAAAGTCCCGGTAACTTAACCGGCCCGGAATCATATTTTTAAATCAAAGTCTCAAGAAAAGTAGGGTGTGTTCTGACCTCTAATGACGTCCATTTGTTTCGTTAGCTAATAACTCTACTGTATAATTTTCAAAACTTTTAAAACTTCCTTCTAAAATGAAAAACAAAACAGCTTAACGGGCCCGGTAATTACCGGAAGCTTCAAGAAACGGGCCCCTGGGCTTATACATCTTCTTAAGGGGTTTTAGGAAAGCTTATGCACCGAGGGACTTACAGTGTACATGTGAGGAGGCTTGTAGCCGGGAATAGAAAAAGTGCTTCGTAACAAGCTACAGCAGTGCCGATAAAAATATGTTCTGATATGTTCTTAACTAAGCTTCAAAATGTTGTAATACCTCGAAAAACATTCCCCATTAGCAGAAGCCTATTTTCCCGAATACCAGGGAAAAGAGGCCTCTTCTAGCAGGGAATAAATCAAATTCATTTCAATACATAAAAGTAACAGCTAGAGGGGGGTTTATATCCAGAGGGCTTATAATCAGATGTTTACCGGTAGATGGGCTTTTAACTGGGGGGAGGCTCAATAAGTGGAAGTTTACGGTATGAAGGAACCAGTCAAAGAAAGTGGGTTTTGACTGAATGATGATGTAAATTATCTTGCAACTGACTGACTGGGAAACTCGCAGTATGTGACGTGCATCGTGTGACTTTGTTTCTCCACTGACGTTTCCGGGTTGTTTTTTTTTGGCCAACGCTGTATCAAAAAGATTTAGTAGCAAGTGACAGAAAGTCAAATTTTTTGTTCTAAGAATAGCACAAGCATCAAAGCATAAACAGCTTGTACAAGTTTGCGGAAGATCACGACGCGTAAAAGTAATGCGTTACTTTTTTGGGATTGCACCTCGTAATACACAGTATCTAAACTGGCAACCAATTAGAATTCGATTAGTCTTGCATACATCCTCGTGATATTTTTGCTGCCGCGCATCAGCCGGCAGCAGACCATATTCTTGAGCGATTTGAGATTTTTGGTTCGATGGTTCCATGGTTCAATCAGCAAGTGCTTAGCTTCCGCGCCTGTTTTTCTCTTCAGAGCAACCCGCCATTTTGTTTTGTTCTTATGTGAGTTTAAGATCTGTGCAGAAGTTGTAGTACATCGGATGTTTGCTGTCTTTTTAAACAGCCTAAACGGTAAGGACAGTTCAAGAACTATTGTGCGGGACATTTTTTCTTTTTTTTTTTTTATGCTAGGTTTCAAGATTAGTTATAGCGAGTATTTTTTGTCATACAGATTGTTATCTCGGGAATCAGGATTGTGAGTTGTGATCGGCGTATACTGTACGCCTACCTGACCCGTGAATAAACAAGTTTTGGCCTTTACGTTATTTGCTCGCAACTCTTCTCGTCATGTACACGATGATTGTTCGATGAAGAAACAGTCTATCAGCACTGCGGTTGTTAAAATGAATTACAAAATCATGTTGAAACTTTGGCGAGTCAGTATCTGAATGTAAGCATATTTGTCATTGTGATTGGTTCATTTTTTTGTATTTTACTCGGAGTGCATCATAATTCTATGTTATTGACTTTAAGAAAAAAAATTCATATGTTCAACTGTTCTTCATACTTTCTTTGTCCTATTCGCATCGCAACTCACTGCAGCACTTCCCTTCTCAATGAGAACTTCTAGTTTTATAAGTCAATACCACGAGAGAGATATTCGTTTTGAGTAACGATGCTCGTGGAAGGAGGTTTACTCTTCGTTTTATTCTAGCCCGATCTCCTGGAATTTGAACTGACACTAACTAAAGGTAAGGGAAGCGAAAGTTTCTATGTGAAACGTTGGCAAAAACAGCTTGATAATGGAGCTCTAAAAGTACACAAAAGTACTTCCGTCTTGTGGAGAGGCGTAATGCGAATTTTAAAGCGTTGGTGCCCGCACTAGGATAGATTTTATGCCAGATAAATGGAAGAAAACTTATCGCTGACTAGACGAAGAGATATTGAAGGTTCCTTTCAAGCTACGTGTCATTTCTAGCGCAATTGAAGTCTAGAGTAAGGGCCAAGTCGCACTAGAGGACAAAACTGTTTGTTTATGTCAAAAATCTGTCATCACAATAAAAAACCAAGTGCAACCGGTTTGTTCACCAAAGGACAAAATTTGGTCGCAGACGGACAAACTTCAAAGATGCCGTCGACCACCTCTGGAGCAGGCCAAATTGAGACAAATTTTGGAAAACAATAGCGAGGGTGTTTTAATTCGGAAATGATTTGACAGGTGATACGTAGCAGAGTCTCTATGCTATAGACTTCGTCGTAAAACGTTCTCATTTCGCAACAACATGAATCCCTGCGCGGACGACCTATTTTTTCCGTACGAATATCCACAATATCCACCAGGATGGATCTATCCTTTGCCAGGCCCTTACATGTTTGATGATCGAGGAAATCCCAGCCCATCCCGACCACGAGTACCGACTCGTTGCCAGAATCCCTCCAGTTCAGAGAACATAGCTCAATGCCGGCATCAACCCCAATCTTCTTCGCACCGTGCATCTTCGTCAGTCGAGAACAAGAGAAGGCTCAGGACAGATGCAGTAAAGAAGAGGAGAAGCTTTTAGTTCAACTGTGGGCTGAAAAGCATGATCGGTTAGAAAGCCGAGAATCACAAGGCGCTAACAGCATGGTGTTGTGTTTTGTTCACAGATTTAGTTTTTAAGTGCGACTGTAGCTTTCCGGACAATGTTTTTTGTCACGGGCCGATTTCAAGTCGGATTTGTCCAGAACAAATCTGAAATTGCCCTCTACTTTGACTTGGCCCTAATGCCTTAAACAATTTCTTACCCCAAAGCTTGGCCTCAAGGATCGCACACTTACTTCGATTTGCATAATCTCGTATACAGTTTTACTTAATAATGAATTTGTACCTCACTTCTGATCTTGCAGGGCTAAATTACGTTTAGTGGACATTTGGTTAGTCTCTGTTGCAGCCGTTTTTGTCTCGTCTCCAACAGGTGGAACGTTGCTCGATTAGCGAGGGAGACTATAACATTTGGTAGACTGAACTAACGCGCTGCAGAAGGAATACGCTTGATGAAGCGCTATATCATAAAGCCTAAAATGATCCATCGTTTAATTGAAATACATGTAACAACTGTACCGTAAATCAGATCTACATGTTGTGACACGTAACTGAACTAAGTAAGCATTTTATCTAAGAAAAGCAAGTGGAAACAAGGTTTCTAAAGCATTTTAGAGTCATGTATTTAACACGAAAAATGAAGGATTATTATGGAGCAATTCGCCTCAAGAGCCAATTAGAATGCGATCAGCCTCAGCACCTACAACCACGTGATATTATTAAGCCGATCTAAATTATATGCAAAAGGCCATGAGGTAGTTTTGATTTGAGTGAAGATGCAGGCGGCAGGAGGTTTTTTTTTTTAGCGCGATCTTTTAAAGTTTCCACCAGCTGAAGAGCAACAGAGATTTAGGTAAGGTCAACGAAAGCTTTGATGAAAATTTTTTTATTAAAGAACTTGATTATGGAGGTCCAGAAGTACGTGGTATCTACTTCCGCCTTTTAGAAGAAACTGGGAACTTTTGGTGCTAGGATAGGTTTCATGCTAGTTTAAAAACTGATAGTTTTATTGTTCAATCGTGAAAAATTCGTCGCTGACTAAAGGAAGACACAAGTGATTGGTTCAGCTTGAGCGGTACACCATTTATATCTTTCTTTCTTGTTTGCCCTACCGACCGACCCACTTTTTGTTTGAGACGGATGGATGAATAATAAAACATTGTTTGGGCGTGGCCTAAAATACCAAAAAATCAATGAAACCATACGAATTATCGCTATGTTCGAAACGTTACCTGAACTTTGGCAACGGTTTTCCTTTAAGATTATTTACGGCAGACGCAATATCTGTGTCTTCAAACAGATCAACGGCACATTCTGGCAGCATTTCTTTACAAGATCATAGATGTATACACGGCGTCGGAGAAATTCACACATCAAGAAACAGCCTCCCTAGAAAAATCAATCGTGCACCCTTCCATGCCATCGTCAGCTTGAGAGGTTGTTTCTGCGTGTCTGTTGAGAACTTCTTCTAGGAGAAGAATCTTCTCCTCGCATCTTACTATCTCATCTTTCCAGTTCGTCGCAGCTTTGTAAAAAGCAAAGCATGCTTTCTTCTGCATGTTTCGCACGGTTTTAGGATGGCTCGCGAGGCCTAGCTCCTTAAAACAGTCCATCTCCTCCGTCTTACAACCTCCAAGCACTAGAATGGTGTTAATCCTAAATGTAAAATAAGAGTTCGGAATCCATGGATTCAGAATGCTTGCAAAGATCAATGCCTCCTCGTTTTTCGCGTTCTTTACTTTTTTGTTCCTTGGAAATGACGAAGAAACAAGGCAATGCAAGTTGGGTGCTTTTTGTTGGATTTCTGTAATCAAATGGTCATTTCGGAAATCAGCAAGCTTCTCTAACTCCCCTCGATACTTGTACGTGTTCGTCGGATCTTTTGAGTAGTTCTTTAATTCTCTCTTTATTTCTTTTCCAATCTCTTCTAACACTTTATCGTGCAGTGGAGAAAATTTAGTGACGCCAACTGCGGCGGCTTTGTAGTTTTTGATTCCTAAGTTTTTTAAGAAGCTCTTCGTCACCTGTACACTCGTGTTCTATCACCCGACCACTGGAATATGTAATAAATATCTGAAAGATGAAGATAAAGACAAAAATTGATAAACAAAAATAAGAAGAACACGTGCGGGCAATTCTTATCTAATTAAGAGATTATGTATATATCGATAAACAGTTGTCAATGTCAGTTCAAATTTGTAAAGCTTCTTTTCGTTGAATATTTCTTTACCTGTATCAGAAGGAAAGAAATTAAATTATTGCATCCATTAAAAGAAACGCTAATTGCAAGTAGCTTGCAAGCTGATATGGATTCTTCGCTCGCTGCATTACAAATACCTATCCCAACGCTTATGACTAAGGCCGACAACACGATACTGCCGGCAGTAGACAATTTTTTTTTCCGTTAACTCTCCATTTCTTGCGGCTTTGCATAACGGCACAGCCCCAGCTAGTAGAATTTCATCACAAAGATAACATTTTTTACTTTTTTAGCGAGCGCCATCTGAACATCGCCGTGTAATTTTCTTTTCTCTTCCCTTGAGAGACATAGAGGGATAAAAGGGAGCGGGCAGACGTTTTCCGCGCCTCGTTGAAATGAGATTCCCGCCAATGTACGCATAGCAACTGACTTCCGGTAAATGCTGATTGGCCCATTAACTTGACAGGTAGAGCTGACGTTTGTTTATTTAAATTACAGGGCGGCTGGTGGCTTGTTAAATAAATGTATCAGGCGTTATTTTTTTTTCCATTCGCCTCGTCCGCCCTTAAAAAAAAAACGCCTGATCGCACCTAAGTCAACATCAACACTTACTTCTCACTTTGGTGACTTAGGGGAGGGGTAGGTACTCAGTCTTGGTTCTTGTTATTTTACCTGCATGAGGAGGGCAATCACGAATTGATTTTATATACGTAGTTCACTTTTGCTTGTCCCACACAGTACGAGCAAGGTGCATCATCACACTTTGTGAAATTCGGACCTTTGCAGTTGTCTGATTTGCCAACGGCATCATAGGCTATCTTACTCACTCCGGACCAACACTCACCATAGAACTGAATGCCAAAATATTCGAAGCCCTGTTTCGAAGTTGCGTTAGCACAATCACTTACGATCCTAGACAAAACAAACCAATAGACCCTTGCATGGTTATTTCAGCTTTTGACATGGGCCACTACTGGAAAAAAAAAACGTCTTGAAATAAGTGAACTTGCCAAGTTTGAGAGTGATACGTCTAAAACGAGCAAAGATATAGCTCTGCAAAGCTGCTAAAACTTATAGACGCTTGCTTGTTCCCCCGCAATACAAAGGTCTGTAAAATTTTGGCGTCTTTGAGCAGGTATGTCTTTGTCAGTTTTAAACAACTGGGCAAGTTTAATAACTTAAATAGCGCTCTTTCCAGCGAAGCCAACCGATTTTCCCTGGCTTGTCCATGTCAAAAGTTGAGAAGCTTTGGAGGTTTTAGCTTTACAATAACGCTTAAGATATAACTGGGCGTTAGGAGCCCATGACCCAAAGTAAGCAACTCCCAAATCAGACCTTTGTCACGGCGTTTTTTACAGACTGGTTTATCTTTTAAAGTGGAAGCTCTGCTCCGTCTATGATCGAGCGCATCTGACTGAGTATAAGGCATGAAAAAGGAAAGAAAACTAAACGTCTTAGTCTGCTGACTGGTTTGTGAGACCTGAAAGATAATCTAAATTCGCACCATATTTATTCTAAACATAAACTGGTTAGTGAAATAGCAGTGACACGAGTACATGGAATTTGCTCACTTAGAGTTATAGGCTTCCTCTGGGCGCTTATTGGTTGAGGGAGACCAACAGGAGAGGCCCGGGGGTACTCCTGGGAATTCTTGGTGGGAGTGTGCCGCCTGGTTCTCCAAATCCGGACCCTATCAAGTTCAGAGCAAAAATTGTCCTTTTCCACACCCATTTAAAGACCAGACCTCTAAAATCCCAACCCGTTTTCAGACCTGGCCTTTAGGCATTAATTAAGTCATAATTACCTAGATTAGAGCGCAAACAAAAAAACTGTTCAAATGCATTTCGAATTCGCGTATTCAGGGCTCCTGGCGTATTTCTATTTCCTTCTTCATTTGGAATTGAAACGAAAACTACGTTCATGCACTCCCGTAGTTCCCTCGAAAACAATACCCGATTCCAGACAAAAATAGGCAAAGTGTATAGCCGTTTTCAGACCAAAAAGGCCCAAAAGCCATACACTTTGGGGCGGCACATACCTTATTACATGAAATGTTCCCTTCACGTTAATTTTGCGATACAAAAAAAAAAATCGCGACATGAAAGTGACGCGAACAATGAGTGACGCGAACATAACATGACACGAAAATTAAGTGACTCACGTTATGTCCATATCAAAAATGAACGAGTTTATTGCCACTGAAACGTTTACAAATCACATTTGTTACTTTTCTGAGGAATGCTCAGTGTAAATGGATGCTGTGGCCAATTGACTCAAGAACAATAATTCCGTACAAGCATGAACTGCTTTTGGACATTGTGAGAACTGTTTTATTGTTACTGTTGACATTAGTCCCCGCTGTTGCGTTTTCTTCATGATTTTGGCTTTATTGTTCCTTTAATAAAGTCATTTTACTTAATTCAAAGACATGTTAAATAACATTGCGTATGAAATGTAAATTGCACTCAAAAACGCGAAATTAAAGTGATTCAAAATATACAATTTTCGCAAATTCGCGAAATTTAAGTGTCGCGAAATGTGCGCTCATCAAAATCGCGAAATAAACATGTCGCGAAAAGTTCATGTAATAAGGTACCTATATGGCTTATATAAAGGAGTAACCCCTCCCAGGAGGAGTAGCCTGGGTAGCAGGCGCTTGGAAGTAGTGGGCGCAAGAAAGAACGAGCGCGTGAGAGGGAGACACGCGAGGGGAGATTGAGCGTGTCTCTCGCGCGCCGTTCTTTCTTGGGCCTGCTACGCAGGTTACGGAAGGAGGGGAAACAAGGATGGGACAGTGAAGAAAACAATACACTAATAGGGCTCGCAAAAACTCCTGTCCGGTAGTCCTTGACAAGTAGGAGTCAAGAAGGTTTCTGCAAGTGACTGTTAAGGGTACTTGCCCAATGGGTGAGGGCTAGCTAGGCAAGTTTTTCTCCAAAAAAATCATTATATAACTAAGACGAAAAACAATTGGCCCCTGGCAATTAAAATGTGAGAGCTAATTGTCCAAAGTACAAGCTAGAATTCAACCAATTTTCGAGCACTGCCTAAATTTGATACAGGCTTGTATCTCGAAGCTCAGGGCTCGAGGTGACGAGCATAAATCGGTTGATTCGGTGCTAGTTCTTCCCTTAAGCCGGTAATGATTTCTCCGGTCACCCCTTCCTACCCCGGGTTTTCCCCTCTTTTGAGCTTTTTGGGTAAGAACCCGTATAAACGAATTCTTTAGATCTTCTAGGTTGTTGTTAAACGGTAAACAGATTAAAACAACACAAACTAAAACAAAACAAGCCAAGTTACAAAATAAACTTTCGTCTGCCCCCTCTCCCGGAATGACTTCCATATGAAAGAAATGGAGATGCTCAAAGAAAAATTAGAATTAACGAAACCAATAGACCTTATTTATGTTACCCGCCATCTTTGCAAGCGCTTTAGGATTGATGGGAGGAAAGCAATGTCACGTGGTATTTCAGGGGGCAAACAAGTGACAAAATTTGCCAATACGAGTAATCGCGCTCGAGTTTGTTTATTCTCTCCAAACGAGACGACGATTTAATTGTCATACAAAATATACATTTCGAATTTCGACAACTTTTTAATACGTCATTATGACTTGCTGTGAGAACATCTACGGTCGCGACCACATCTAAAAAAGTAACAATGATCGTCTCCACCCATAATTTGCCATTATCGTCCTTAAGATAAAATGTTCTCCATTTTCCTGTTGGCTAGAATAAACAAACTCGACCGCGATTTCTTGCATTGGCAAACTTTATTGTTTGTTTGGCCCCTGAGAAACCACGTGACATTATTTTTATTCCATCAGTCCTTTTAAAAGCGCGTGCAAAGATGGCGGGTATCGTGAATAAGGTCTATCTGAACGTGGTTCAGTCTTTCTTTGACCCCTCTCCCCTAGGGAGACTATACCATATGGAAATGACTCAACATGGCGCTAAACTAAGAAACTTACTTGTTAAGAAACGTTTTCCAGTTTCCCCAGTCAATGTTGCCTCTTCTTGTTAGGAGCAGTTTTGGCAGTGGTCGTTTAAAGTTATCCTTAAAGCATCCAATCTTCTCGTAATTTGTCCCACATGCTTGCAAAAAGGTAAAAAGTCCTTTTTTTAAAACGTCGGTATAGCCGAATCTTTGTAGGCACTTTTTGCCTCATTAACATTATGCTTATTACTACCTGATGACGCTAATAAAATATAAACTCGGAATATTGAAAGAGCATAACAGTTTCAGTTATCTCTGAAAATTTGAGCCCAATACATCGAACGGTTTCGGAGACATTCTCTTCTAAAAACTCGAAATTGAACAGAGAATGTATGGCTCATTAACATTTTACCTTCCAAGCAATTTCACAGTTTTTGATGGCTGATATTTCCTTCAATATTGCTTGCAAAGAGCTGAGAATTGCACAAACTGCTCAACTTAATCAACTCTTTCAACTTTTGCATTTAGTTCATATATACGGCCACGATTTCTTTGAGTTAAGTCGTATTAAGGAGGAAAAATGTAAAGGGTGACGTCACCAAAGATTCGCCTATAGCTTGAAGTACAGTATTCACTCGCATATAAGAGCCTGTGATTTCGAGGTTCAGGCTGCTCAAGTTCTTATTCACCGACTTAGTGAGGAATCAGCTTGAAAAGGTTCTTAAAGTGTTCATAAAATTTATTTCAGAAATACTATACATTATGCATGACTAAAAGTTTGAATAACTTTAAATAAATTTTTGAATTTTAGTGTATGTAATAGCATGATTAGTAATGATATTTGGAATAAATACCAAGAGTGCTATTTCGAAATTCTTCTACGTAATTTCACGAGCCATCAGGCGAGTGAAATTTGAGACAATTTTGAAATTTCACGAGTGGTATTTATGCCAAATATCACGTACAAATGATGCTATTATTTGTTTATACTACTACCCGCGAAACGTTTGTAATTTTCACATGTAGGTATTTCAAATTAAACTGAAATATCACTGCTCTCAGCCAATCAAATTGCAGAAATTTCTCATGTAGTAGTATAAAGTAAATAATAATATCAGTAATCTTTAACAATTAAAAATTCACCATCAAGCTGTTAAGTAGTTGTAACATTTTATTGTCTTTGGTCTCACAGTCCAGGACAGTCCCATCCTTTGTCAGGAACTAAGTTTGTATCGCTCTTATACTTTGTATGATCCACCACAAAAATAGGAGAGCTCTGCGAACGAAGCTCCATTTCGATTTCGTCTCGTCTGTCAGACAAATGTAGTGCAGAAGAATTTGGGGCGAAAATGTGTCTGAACGCGGAATTTGAATACGATTAATTTGTTTCAGACGGATAATTCGTCCCTAGCGAAAATTCGGTCATTTATTTGAGATTTACATAGATCGAAAGTTTTAACTGACAGTACATTACTCTATGGACAAAAACGTCGAGTAGGCGGTCTTTTTCGCTGACTCAAGAAGCGCTGTCTCCAATGGACTGGCCCCCGCCCCCTGAGACACATATGAGGAAATGGAAGCGGAAATGAAAAAGAAAATTATGACTTAAATGATCGACCAAAGGTTTACAAAAAATATGTTATCTTCACTTGAGGTACCTACATGTAGATCCCCCCATCCAGATCCTCAACGAACAGCAGACAGAACAGTTCTATTTTCGATTACGCATCATACGCACATCCATTTGACATTTATAAAATTATATTCGAAATATTTACTAGTTATAGCCATCGCTAAGTGCCAACGAGCAAGGATTGTACCTATCTACACGTGCAGTTTAATTTGTTCAGAAATGTCATAAATTACAGTAAATTTTGAATAATAGATTGAACTTAATTCAATTGCATAAGCGAAAATTACCTTGAAAGTAGTGCAAGCAAGGGGCACGTTTACACCAACCCACCCATGGGCACAGCTATATCACGTGGGCGTGGCAGCCACGGACATTTATCAGAACTCAGCAGCATGGCATAGCCGTCAGGTCAATGAACGGGGTAAACCCGTCTAAAAGACCCTCTACTGCCGAGGCGTGTGCAAGGCACTCCTTTAAAGCGGGGGGTTCACGGTCATACGCGTGCGCGCCTTGACAGCTTCCGGAATAAATCATACGGGCCAACACTAAATTCGAAGAAGACATCAACTGCTAATCCAAAGGAATCTGTCTTTAAATTCACCTATCCGTCGCTCTAAGTAAGCAAAGTGAGGTCTGCTATTTCTTAAGTACCCGTAAGTGTTGTTTTGTTTTCGGAGAAAGGCGTTTAGGGGACGAAAACTCAATTTCCTGAATGGAGTCTCAGAAGCGACGTCGCGGGAGACCGGCAACAGGACGTTCTCAAGAGTCTTTGGAGATAGAGAAGCTTAGCCGCTCGATATGGTATGGTTCTAGGAGTAGTGTGTGGTTTCACTTGGAAAGTGGTAAAAAGTATGTGTTTGTTCAACTCTGATTTGACTTATAACTATGCCTTGTATACTGAAAAGTACGCAACAGGCTGCGCGTCTTCACCGATCTGGTACACTTGAAATGTTCCTTTTATCTTTGCTGTATGATCGTATATGTTTAAGAATTGATGTTTTTAAAATAAATTATTGCCTGAATATTCTGTTTATAATCTGGTTTCTTTATCAACGCGAAGGCTGATAAGCAATTGAATTTTTTGCTCAATTTAAGATAATCTTTATACTCATACGCTGTGTGTTTTTGTCACCGGTCGGGCGCTATTTGCAGATATCTCTAGGTTTATATAAGGCGAACAGAGAGATCAGAATAGAAGGTTTGTTTACAAATTTTGTTTGCCGATCGGTGACTGCTTTGTTAGCGTGGGTACGTAAAAGGCCTCGTAAAAATACACGTAGGTAAATGTTTGTTTTTAAAGCAGGACAGGGCTGTAAATCTTATTCTTATCGGCTACAACATAATTATATCTGAGGAATAGCAAAGAATAAGTATGAATTAGGGGAATATATAAAATCAAACCAAATGTCCGGAAATACTCCCGGGTCGCGAACAATGAATCTGAATTGTGTAAATTTCCTTGCGTGCATCTAACTCGCTTCCGATTGGTTTAAAAACAATCAGCTGCTGACAGAACTCACACATGCGTAGTATCGTGAACCTGTCCTTTTAAGGGGCAGCTCTACACAACTCCAACCCATGTTTGAGCTGTCGGGGGATCATGGGTTGGTGTATGTGTGCCCCTTGCTTTAAGTTTGTCTTTTGAAAACAGTAAACTAAACTGTTCTATTGCATAAATAATTTGAAGTCCCGACTTTACATAGTAAATTTTTCGAGATATTGAAGTTCGTATTTTTGTCCGAAGTTGCGCACATGTCATGTTGCGTAAAATTTAGTGGTCTTACAACTGATAAGCCAATTTAGAATCCTCGAGAAAATCGTATTTAAGTCCGCGAATATAAGATTTAAGGTGCGCCGATGAAGCCTTCCGAATTATTTTGCTTCCAAGACGCAATCAATTTTACGGCGTCGTTTTTTTCTTAAATTAGCGGCAGGCAAAAAAAAATTTAATCGCGTATTATGCAAATAAATGTCCATCCGACGATTGGTTGAAGACGGGATGAGCACGGGACTCACAAACACGCACACGGCTCGTGGATTCTCTGATCTGTATCACGTGTTCGCTCGAAGCGATTCATTCTCTGTTCTGCATTATGTCAAAAATGTTGCCTTGCATTACTATGGTTGTCTTTACACTGGGATGTTAAGCAAGACTTAAGAGCTGCTAAGTTTTACTTAATCAAAAATTCGTGTGTGAAGTAAAATCTCAAGTGACTTTACTTTGCATCTCATTAAAGTCGGAAAGTTGAAACGATTCAAGAAAGTTTCAAGCGACTTGAAAACCATCCTTAAAACCGACTTAGCTGACTTGCGGTTACTTGCGGTTTTTTTGAGCTTTGAGAAAAGCGAAACATTTCAATCAATCTTAATTATGTTGCGTGGGAAAATAGCCTTAAGTTAACCTGAAGTAAAAATGAAGCGGTTGTGTGTGAAGCTTTATTTTACTTGAAGTAATCAAAATTTACTTGTCTTGAAATATTTCTTAGCTTATTTAGACTCTACTGTAAAGACTACCTATATTTCCTAAATGTTACATCGATTCGAGATTTTTTCTGCCCCTGGAACAATCGCGCACGACTCTATTAGGCTGCCGTCTCGCAGCCTCGTTGGCAATTATAATGTTAAGAGGTTAATCTTTACTTATATTTCTCCATGTTTGAACAGTCTTAAAAGCCTCCAATCGGTCTGGCGTCACCATGTCAACAAAGAAATTATGAACTTGACAAGAACAAAGAGTAGTTATTTACCACCTACTCTACCCCCTACCCTCGGCCAGGGCCGCCTCAAAAGAAATCCCTAGCCCCAGCCCTAAAGGGCTGGAAATGTCCCAGGATATGTGGGGGGGGGGGGGTGGAAGGGGAGAAGGGTTAGTGGTAGCGGGTAAAATTGATCCATGCATTAACATCATTACCTCCATCATCTCCCATTGTAGTACTGCATATCTTGAGAGAAATTTCTGTAATTTCGTGATCTTCGTAATAAACTTGATGACGACTGGTATTGGCAAATCTAAATATTGCAACTCTAGTCTTTTCACGTTGTTTGATCATTCCTGGCAGTTGTCTCTTCGACAATAATTTATTAAATTTGACTGATCGAGATCTTTTTTGATCCAAGGTTCAGAGCAAGTTTGATTGTACAAGTTTTTTTGTATTGGTCTTGCACCTGAACTTTTCAACACCTCCAGTTAAAGTTTCTTCAAAATTTGTGCTTGTTCCATTGTACGTTCGAAGTGTGAACGAACGTTTTTTCATTCCTGCAGATATTCCTCAAAAAGCGGTTTATCGTGAGTTAGCAAGTAATTCTGCTATTTTTCTTTGAAAATCCGTGAACTCTTTCGCTTTTTATAGAGTTCTACACTCACGACAGCTAAGCTTCCGCACCCCTGTCTTTTGCGACGTCAATGCTATATCGCATACTCATTTATTGACGTCAGAGAGACTTACGTCAGTGATGGTATAATCTAAGCATCTGCCAAATTTGTTCAGCGCTAGCGGGTTACGAAGAAGTAGTCGTGGGATTTAAAGTCAATCAGAAACAGAGAAATGTCTTGGGTAAATAATAATATATCCCTATGAGATAAATAGCCAATATGGCTCCGTGCTAAACTTTGGATCCATTTTAAGAAATGATTTAAAGGTTCTTTTTCTGGTTTTTGTTAGTAAGCATTTTCTTTCCTTTGAAAAAGCTTTTTTGGTTTATTTAAGCAATAGACAGCACTTTCTATGGGTTTACCGGTGTGATAACCCACGCGGGATGTTGGGAGAACACGAGAAAAGCTTGTAAATCACGAGCCGAAGGCAAGTGATTTACAAGTTTTGCGAGTGTTCCCCCAACATCCCAAGTGGTTAATTGCGCCGGGAAACCCATAGAAAGTGTGGTCTTTTACTTTTATAAATAATTTTAAGTTTTCTATGAGTTTACCAGCACAATAAACCATAGGTTTTTAACCAATCAGAACGCTCGTACTATCTGAGTTATTTTATAATTAATTACTATTAAACAACAGAAAAAACTACCAGACAGTGTAATACGTCACCGTGTCAGTGACTAAGGGAATCATCTTCGATTTTTAGCGACTTTGCCTGTTAAATTTTTATTTCCAATCGGAGAAGATATATTGCTTATTTAAATTTCACACTCACCATTAAGGCAAGGGTCCTGTTCACAAGTTCGAGTTTCAGAACAAATTCCATTTATGCAGGGTCTATTGCGTGACTGTGTTCCAGAGCCACAAGTAACACTACACTGACTCCATTCGGACCACTGTGGATTACCATGGGTCGATGTCAGGTCGCCTGTAGTAAGAAATAAAATAATAATAATAATAATAATAATAATAATAATAATAATAATAATAATAATAATAATAATGATAATAATAATAATACTAACAGAAATAGTAATAATAAGAATAGACGCCTCAAGCTGATTCTGAACTCAAAGCTTCTCCTAACCCCGCCTGCCAGAGATAACTTGAAAATCACACCGACAAAGTTAATAACAAAGGCATGCAAGACTCTATTTTCTAATTGCAGTAGTAACGATGACGATATAGTATAATGATACAGTGATGATGATGATGATGATGTTAACGATGATGGTGATAAAATAATAATCTTAATCATAATCATAGTTATAACTATAACAATCATAACCATGAACTAGAAGTGAAATCAATTATAAGGAAGGCAACTGACTTGAGGAAATATTGACTTACTGCAAACCATTTTCTTTATTGGATCGACAAAGGGTGTATATCCTAAGGTTTTGTCTTCATACATGATCAATACATTGTCTCCTCCTATTTCCCTAAGCACTGTTGTATTAATCTGAGCTTCTATTCCGTAACCGACAGCAAATATACTAACGTTTTGCGCCTGCGAAAAAAAACACTGGTAATAAGAAGTGGTGCCTTCAATTTTAACTATTCACTCTACATAATCACAGAAAGGAGGTATAATTCTCACCTGGGCGGGGGGAGGCACTAAACATAGTTTGATACTTGCAGGCTACGCCCTAAAGTCTACCCCTTTTCTTTTGACATACACCTAATTGCAATAACGTTGTCTTAGAAAAATGAAAAAAAAAGCCAAATAGGAATAAAATAGGCTGATAAGCCTAATGAATTCATTTGCAGCATCTGCACCTGGACGTCGTATTTGCCTGTTGGAATTTGCTATTGTTTTAAAGCTGAAAATCCAGCGGAGAAATGTAACGGCTGCAAATGAATCCACCATGAGAACGTGGCTAAATTAGCTGAATTAATTGCTATTTGGCTTTTTCCTTTTTTTCACTTTTCTATGACAACGTTTTTGCAATTGGGTGTATCCCTTTTAACAGAAAAGTTATCCGTTTGGTATACCTTCTAATGACAAATTACACCTACATCGCTAAACCAGAAGTTTTTTTTTTTGCATTTTTTGACAGTCATAAAAATCGTTTAGCCATTTTAGGTCCTCTAACAAATCTAAAAACCTTTTTAAATAGAGATATTGTAATAGGCCATTTGCCATAACAGGTCATGTGACATTGTCTTTATGACAATGAAAGTTAAATGATTTTGCTTTCGTAAAACGATTAATGGGTCGTATCTTAAACAAAATAATAGTGATTTGGTTTTTCAAACCTGCACCATTTTCTTAAAATGAGTAAGTTCGTAGCCGGTCACTTAGACAAAATTGTAAAATTATGAATTGCCTCTTTCTGAACACAAATTTTGCACTTAAACTTCAAGGAAAATGATGTGGCAACGTTTACAACACATCTGAGCGTAACTATCAAACGTTTAACAGGATATAAGCAAAAAGTGGTTTTGGCCGCCATGTTGGAGGGCAAGAGTATGACCCCCAACATGGCGGCCAATACAAATCATAATACTTTGCTGAAAAATCAAAGTGTCATAAAATATCTCCCTAAAGTTCGTTTCCTCTCAAATTTCGGGTGTAAGATACATTTTATATGCTCTGTCAATTTTTGGCATCTGTAAGATTCCAACTCATTGTTTAAAGGAAGCATTGGTCACGTGACCTCTTAGTGCAAGTGGCCTATTAATATGTTTTTAGATTAGTTTGTTGACGTAATGCGGCTGGTTAGTTGGTTGGTTGGTTGGTTTCTTTCGAGAAGAAAAATCACATCTCTTACCCTTAAAAAAGGTAAAGATTTGTTGAAAAGAAGGAACGTTTCTGGTGGAAATGGCCTCCCATCCGTGAACACGAGTAACACATTTTGCTTATCTTCTCTTACTCCTGCACTTAAAGTAAACAGCTCGTTTTTGGCTTTTAGCAGGGCTAGGTCGATTCTTGTTATGAACTGTCTAACTGGTTCGATAGTACTGACGTTTTCTGCCAACGTGAACCTCAAACGACTGTATTTGTCGAAGGTTATCAAACCAAACTGGGTTTTTTGCGCTGATATTTCGAATTTGGCATAGAATGGCTTTAAAAACGTTTCCAAAAAAACCTCAAGTTTCCTTTGAGGAATACTTAGTGACGTGTCGATAAGGATTCCAATGTCTTTGTTACAAGGGGTTGAATCAGCTGAAATAGAACAGAAATTAAGATTAATTGTCGTATTCCCTATTTAGAACTTGTGCAAGATAATGTGAGTAGTATAGAAAGGACCAGTTGAACCCCATATTTTGGGCAGGAATCTTACTAACTTGCTCAAGAATAATTAACCCTTTCACTGCCAAAAGTGGCCAAAGTCAAATTTCAACAAAATCTCCAATTGTATTTTGGTAAAATGCTGTAAAATCAGATTAATAATACAATGTGAAAGTACTGACAGAGAGGTTTCATTTGAATGGTCACACCGCAGGATTTCGTCCACAGATTCGAAAGTTAAAACCAGTTTACGAGACTCCTTCTTTTATCCTGGCAGTGAAAGGGTTAACGCCTGTAGCGTCACGGCCCCTTAAAAAATAGTCTTTATCCCGAGAATACAATGCGGTGGAATCTCATTTACATAAGTTATATATAGGTCTATTCCATTCTTAGACTAAAAACTTACAAAAGTATTTATTTGTTGATTGTAGAAGGAATAACCGCTAACTCAACTGTGACTTAAAATTCAATGAGCCGTAACATAATCATGCAAGTTCTATGTCTTGCCGATTCCATTGTCCATCGCAGACAATCTATTGTCATACAAAGGGCCGTGACGTCATCGGCGTTAATATAGTCGTGTGCAAGTTGATGAGAATCTTGCGTAAAAAAGGGATCTAACAGTTTCCTACTATACTACATGCGCAAAAATGTCGCTTATCACACAGTAATTTTTAAGGAGTTATAATAACTCATCTAGTGGGGTTAATTTAACTCCTTACAGTGGAGTTATTTTTTGGGAGTCATTGTAACTCCAAGGAGTTTAAAGAACTCTTTTTCAGGGGTAAAAATGACCCTAGATATCGAGGAGTTAAAATAACCCCAAAAGAGGAGTTATCCTGTACCTAAAATTTTTACCCCACTTTCAGAGTTAAAGTAATTCCAAAAAAAGTAAAAACAACCCATGTAACGAGTAAAAATAACACCATTTATGGAGTTATTTTAACTCCAGACTGGGAGTAAAAAGAACTCTTTTTGAGAAGTAAAAATTACCCCAAATTTGGAGTTAAATTAGGAGTTAAAGTAACCCCCCAAAAGGGGTTATCCTGTACCTAAAATTTTTACTCCATTTTTGGAGTTATAATAACTCCCTAAAAATTACTGTGCAGATTTTGTATATGAAAAAGACAAGAATTAGACATAAATTAGTAAAACATATTTAGAAACGTCATAGAATTGGACTTTTTCTTACCATTAGTACTGATGATGTAAAGTAAAGTGAAAAGGATAAAGATCTTCAGCATGATCCTGATTTTCTGCAAAAAGTAAATGGCATTTAGCTTCTCAGAAATTAATTTTGAGGAAATGAAGATGTCTTAGAGGTGAGGTTGAAGTGCTTTTTCCCACACTGAAAACCTTTAGTGCTCTTTGCAGGACTCAGGAAGCTTAGTCATTAAATAATGACCATTTGTGAAAAAGATGACAAGAAAATATTTTGATAGAAACCGTTCTTAATATCGGCTGTTCACTTAACTTCTCATTTGTTTTGCTTTTATATTCGGAGAAAATGGACGTTCACTTGTGGAAACCTCAAAAATGTGGGCAAAGATTAAACTTTGTCAGAAAAATTATGCTTTCCTTCCTATGGTTTGACCCATGACTAAAGATGGCTCCAAATGATTCAAATGTGCAGGGGAAAAGGGAGGTTGCTCTTATGTACTGCAAGCATATCGATACATGTGTTTCCTAAGAAGCCACAGTTGATCGAAGGGTACAAATTCTTGCTGGATCTAACTTTTGCCCTGGATTTTTTTCCTTGTAATTTTAAGGAAGGTCGCTAATTTTAATTTTGGTGGTAAAATAAGTGCCTATCAATCAACTTAGGGAGCGTCCAAATAGAACTGTTTATTTCTAGTGAAGGGATGACTGTTATCTTAAAATCATGCCAATATCATTTCCCTTTCACCGGTGAAAGCTTGCAAACAAAAATGTTAAGAATAATATGTTTAGTTTCCTGTTCTACTGTTCAAAAAACCCAAGCTCACTTATCATCGACCTCCAGCTACCTCCCTACCGCGTTTTGCGTCCCTAATTCACGATTAAAATTTTCACGGAGCTTTTAGAGAAATATTCTCACTAAGTATTATCTTCCACATAGCAGACTTGGAGATAGGCGATCTGCTCTCAAACACAGTCGTTTGGACTTAGACATATAAGCCAGCTCATCTTTTACCCAACGAGTTCTAATATCGGGACAAAATGTTTGCGTCCAGTTCTCAATCGTATAACTTTTTTGACAGATAATTTTATACATAATTATTCCATTTCCTTTATGCTCGTCTGGCGTTTTGCTAGCCTGCCAGAACCGCACCGGTGGGGATGTTTTGCGAAGAGGACCGTCTTCGACTCAGCGACAAAAATTTCATACGGATGACGTAAATGATTGTTTAATAAATCCGGTAGTCGTGGGGTTCCAAATGCAAATTTGTTCCATTTTAGGTTTTTTTACTGGTCGATTTTGGTAAAGTGTTGTGTTCATCTGCGAACGAGCACCGGCAAAACACAAATGCTTCTTCTAGAGAAGAATATATTCCACAGTCATTGACTGTTTTGTTATAGATTCATCGCGTTTACATTTGACCTTTTTAGCCTTTTGTCTGTCATTCGTAAACAATAGCTAAAACAATATAACTACTCCGTCTGCTAATCAGCGCTTCCTACGGGATCCCAGACAGATTTTAGTTCATCAGTATCGAATTTCTGTCGCTGAGTCGCAGAAGATCCTCCTCGCGAAAAGTCCCCAGCGGCGAGGAGCGGGGAGAAACGGTTCTTTTCGCAGGCTAACGTTTGGCAAGCGACCAGAGGAGCCCGCAATCCTAATCTCCATGTTCTAGTGCAATTACGCATGCTTGGCACGTACATAGCCAGCATTTAATTGAATGGATAGAACGCAAAATCTCATCACGTGCCTTTGGACCTTCTATCAGATCATTCACTTAAATCACGTGAAACGGAAAGCACCGACTTTGGAGCAAGAGCGTTTTGACCTTCGATCAAAGGCCTGAAACTAGTTTTAAGAACACTGTCGCTTTCGTAACGCTCTTTTTGTTGAAGGAATGCACCAATATTCTATCAGTTGTTTTTCAGTGCTTCCACACGAATCTTACATCCGCCAAATCTTTTTCCTTAAATTAGCGCTTTTTAGAAGAAGGAAAGAACAATATATTTTTTTTTTTTGAAGTTGCGTTATTATTTACCGCAGCAAGTCATTTTGGGGATCGATTCAATTACGCGGTAAAACGTCATAAATGCCTATGAAATAAACGCTGATTCATTCATTCAATTTCCACCGATCAACAAAACAAATTTTTCATTTCGCGAGTACTTAATATATGTTCTTAAGTTTAGGTCTCAGCAGACAACCATGTTGAAAGTTTTACATATCTCTCGATTTTAAGTGAAGTGAAGTGCCTTTTTTTTGGCCCAACGAAGCTCTGCATTAATCGTCATCAATAAATTCTGTTGATTGGTAGGGGTACAGTTTTAAACGAAAAACTAAGTTGAAGTAAACCAGCTATACCAACAGTGGTCTTGTTTAGCTATGAGTCGGTATATATTTTTGAAGAAAAAGGTTCTTAAAACGCCTAAACCAGCTCGCTAACGCATGGCTTTCGGAAAAGTTTGAAAGTGGCGATTAGCTGTCATGGTGAGTGTTCTAGACCTCAACTGGGTGGACTATATGGGTAGCTTGTATGGTTCTGATGTTTCCCACTGTTTTTCCATGCGGATAAATTGGATTGAATTATATTAGATTGTATTTAATACATGCTGTAAACGCTTTGTAATTGTTTACAAATTAAGGCGCGTTTGAATCTAACTTCGTTGAGAAGAATTGAGGTATTTTTCAGCGAACAAATCGCGGTTTTGTGACAGTTAGTGTTCTTCTAATATTAAAGCGATGAAAGACAAACCGTAACCATATAATTTCTCTTGACTTACCAGTCTTTGAGGGTCCGCTCGTATTCAATCTACAAGTAAGCTTTGTAGACCTCTCCGTAGAACAGGGCGTTAACAAATGATAAGAGAACAGACTTTCTGTCATATTAAACCAGGGCAAAAAAAAAGCAGACAGACGCTTTTTACATTAAATGTAATATGTGCATGGTGAAAACGTTATGAGTTGCATAGGCCAATCAGGCTTTTTAACTTTCTTGACAGCAAAGTTGACGAGACACGAAACGCATAATGCATTCATTATAATTCTCTGACTGAAACGGGCGCGTGGCCAAAGCAATAAGCTAGCTGGCATGACAACCTGATTTTGTCTCGAAAATAGAGTCATTACATGTATTCGCTGTGCTGAACCGGCTTTAGGTTGTTTGTTTGTCTTTTTAATCAAAATAGTACTGGATCGCAGGCTTTTGGAACTTGTGGAACAAAATATTTCTTCCTGACAGTTTTTCGCTTTGGAGGAAAAAACCTAATGGTCATTGTTAAATTGTAAGCCACATGCATCACATTTAAAGAAAAACTTGTTATTTGTAAAATAAATTATAAACATAAAGTCTTGTTTTGCTGAACATTTTTAGTTAAGTGGCCATAACCAAAAAATATTGGGGGGTCAATTAATATCATATGTAACATGTAAATTAGAAAACACTAGCGAAGAAAAAAGAGCTTAAGAGCGAGAAACTGGCCATTGATGGTGGATCAAAAAATAATTTTTTTCATATTCTAAACTAATTCTAAACTTATTTTACCTTTTTTCACGTTATGGGCATCAAATATCATGGAATATCTGCAAAAATCTTACCCCGTGTACAGCCGCCCCCTCCTCCCAAAAAAATATATCCGAACTCGGATTTTTTCTAGGGGCAGGGGGGGGGGGGACGTGTGAGGGGCGGCTTTACACAGTCAAAATCCTAGTCATCCGAGTAAAAAAATGAATATTAAACAGATAAAAATAAATATAAACATAACTTTTAGCTTCCATACCAGTAGTACTGAGGATGTAAAGTGAAGTGAAAAGGAAATAGATCTTCTGCGTGATCCTACCTTTCTGCAAAAAGTCGCAAACATTGAGGTGGAATTGTTTGGGAGATTTTTCCAGTTGAAACTTTAGGTTTAAGTTTCTAACAGAAGTGTTTTTACCTGAGTGAAAGGCTGAGGTTGAGTGAGGGAGCCATTCTTATTGTCACCATACACTTTTAACAGAAGTGTTTTTACCTGAGTGAAAGGCTGAGGTTGAGTGAGGGAGCCATTCTTATTGTCACCATCCACTTATTATACTGCGAAGAATCCCCAGACCAGCTAAATTCCTGTCAGGGGAGGGGCTAGTGTTCTGCCGTTTTTGCCGTTGCATTACTTTGTGATGCATACATGACCTAAAAAATAACGAACGGTCAAGGAGTCCTGGAACAAGTTTGAAAAACATGGCGGCAGAATGAGTTTGTTTACAGCTCTCTAAGACGTTTTCGGGAAATTTTCTCCGCGCAGTCCCAGCCTAACGGGTTCAGGTTGAATTCAAAGGAAACCAAAAACCCTACGTTTTAAAATACGTGATGGTTTTCCTGGCACGAACAACAGATGCCACGATATCAGTTGTTGCTCTCAGCTCCCAAGCACTCGCACGTGGTTATCCATTAAAAATTGCGAGTTGTAGGTGGGGAAAAATCCGAGAGATCCTGGCCATAATCTAAGGTAAGATCTTGAAAATGATGCTTCTTGTGATTTATTTTCCGCTGGTATCCATATAGAAATTGTTATGTCACAAGTCACAACATAGATCAAAAGGGCAAAGATCCACGCAAAAGTCGCTGAAATTCTATGATCCCGCTATATTTTTAAGACCTCATCGTAGCTCAAATGCATCCCTAGCCTGTTGACAGAATTGTGATTACATATATTGAGCCAAAATGAATGTAATAGATGGAAACTTCCAAATAATCATTACCTATAGGCGAATCTTTACTGACGTCATTGTTTACATTTTTGCTCATCAGCATACCACTTAAATCATAGAAGCCGTGGTCGTATATATGAACTAAATGCAAAAGTTGAAAGAGCTGATTAAGTTGAGAAATTTGTTCAATTTTCAGCTGTTTGCAAGCAATATTGATGGAAATATCAGCCATCAAAAACTGCGAAATTGCTGGGTGGCAAAAAAGTTAATGAGCCATACATTGTCTGTTAAATTTCGAGTTTTAGAAGAGAATTTCTCCGAAATCATTCGGTGTATTGGGCTCAAATTTTCAGAGATAACTGAAACTGTTATGCCCTTTCAATATTCCGAGTTTTTATTTTA